GTGTGTGTGTGTGTGTGTGTGTGTGTGTGTGTGTGTGTGTGTGCAGGTGCATGAGTGTGGATCTTAGTGTGTGTGTGGTTGGGTAGCGTTTGATTAGTGAAGAAAGGAAAATCTGTTTTTGTGCGTGTCTCTTGCCAGCGAGCTATCCCGAGTCTCACTGACCCTCTCCATCTGCTCGTTAGCTCCAAATCAAGGCCAAATGGAGCCACTGAGTTAGACTTGGCCACACACCCTTGGCTCCAATTGTGTTTTATCCTCTCCTTTTTTTTTCATCGTTTTGCTCCCAACTGTCTGACTTCAGATCCTGAAGGCAGCACTTTTTTTTTGTGGAGCCTTGAACACGGCCACCAGGACCGCAGCACCAGTTAGCTCAGCAGCAACAGCAAACCTTGCTCTCATTTAATCGCGCCGTCTTCATCAGGCAATAACGCAGAACGTCAGCCTCATCCATCAGGGCGAAGAGGCCGTGTTTTCGGGACAGCTCCGACAGAAACATGCGCTTCATCTGTCTCCTCGCTGGAACATCAAAAGGCCCCGGATAAGCAGACTTTAGCTCTATCCCAGCCCTCCCTTTGATGTCCACAACGGTCCTGGTTCAGCTGTCTTCCATCATTCGGGCTGCAGACAGCCAAAGAAAGAGTTATGGGTCAGGGATTGTACAATTCCTTAGCTGCAACATAAAGTTACTCATCCTGTCTGTTTGTAGCTCTAAAGGTTTCCAATTACGAGGATGGGGGAAAAAAAGGTCAAAACATAATATTCATTTCATGTCTTTTAAATAATAATGTTTGTATTTCCACTGCTTCTCTGCCGTCAGCATGGAGGGCTCACTGGTGCAGCTGCCTGAAATCGTGGCCCTGAAGAAGAAGTACAAAGCATACCTGTACCTGGACGAGGCCCACAGCATCGGCGCGGTGGGGCCGACGGGGAGGGGGGTGACAGAGCTGTTCAGCGTGAACCCGGCCGACGTGGACGTGATGATGGGGACCTTCACCAAGAGCTTTGGAGCTGCCGGAGGCTACATCGCCGGGAAAAAGGTGGATTTTTATGCTTTCTGTTCTTTACTGTCAGGTCACGACTGGAATAAAAAAAAACAGGGTTCCTGCAGATCCTTAAAAAGCATTAAAAGGCATTAAATTCATCAATCCAAAAATAAGGCCTTACTTAGCCTTAAAATGTCTTAAATCAACTTTTCAGAAGTCTTAAAAAACATTGTAGCTTAAT